GAGACTCAAGAAGAGAGAGACGAAAGGTTAAAAAGAGAGACAGAGGAAAAAAAAACGTTAGAGACCACAAGAGAAATAGGGAATTTAGCAAATTGCTAGCCACTGTAGTGACAGGGCAGAGGCAGAATAGACAGGACCTGGGAGACTGGAGGGGTCCTCGGATAGAAAGAGATCAATGCGCCTACTGCAAGGGAAAAGGGCACTGGGTTCGAGACTGCCCAAAGAGACCAAAAGGGCCACGGAAGCCTAAGCCCCAGGCCACCCTGCTAAACCTGGAGGATTAGGGGAGTCGGGGTCAGGAGCCTCCCCCTGAACCCAGGATAACCCTTAATGTGGGGGGGCAACCCGTCACCTTCCTGGTGGACACCGGAGCCCAACATTCGGTGCTCACTACCACACCGGGACCCCTGACTGACAAATCGGCGTGGGTTCAAGGAGCCACCGGAGGGAAAAGATACCGTTGGACAACTGAAAGAAGAGTACAACTCGCCACCGGTAAGGTGACTCACTCTTTTTTACACGTTCCTGATTGCCCTTATCCTCTGTTGGGGAGAGATCTATTAATGAAACTTAGGGCACAAATCCACTTTGAAGGGACTAAGGCCCACATTACTGGGCCTCAGGGACAGCCTTTACATGTGTTAACCATAGATCTGGAGGACGAATACCGGCTTCACGAACCTGAAAGGCCTCGGCCACAAAAAATAACTGATTGGTTAAAAAAATTCCCTTTAACCTGGGCGGAAACAGGGGGAGTGGGTCTCGCAACCCACCAACCGCCCCTGGTAATCACTCTAAAGGCATCGGCAACTCCTGTTTCCATTAAGCAATACCCGATGTCGCATGAAGCTTACCAAGGAATTAGGCCCCACATTCGGAGGCTTTTAAATCAGGGCATCCTGGTGCCTTGTCAATCCCCCTGGAATACGCCTCTCCTTCCGGTCAAAAAGCCAGGGACAAGAGACTACCGCCCAGTGCAGGACTTGAGAGAAGTCAATAAAAGGGTAGAGGATATACACCCTACAGTTCCTAACCCGTACAATTTGTTGACTGGGCTTCCTCCGACGTACACCTGGTATTCGGTATTAGACCTTAAGGATGCATTCTTTTGCTTGAGGCTCCACCCTCAGAGTCAGCCTATCTTTGCCTTCGAGTGGAAGGACCCAGAATTGGGAGTATCGGGTCAGCTCACTTGGACTAGACTCCCACAGGGGTTCAAAAACAGCCCCACCCTATTTGACGAGGCGTTGCACCGGGACCTGGCCGATTTTAGAATTCACTACCCTGCTTTAATCTTGCTCCAATATGTTGATGACCTCCTCCTGGCTGCGGAAACTGAGGAAAAATGTCAGGAGGGAACAAAGGCCCTCTTGAGGACTTTAGGAACTCTAGGATACCGGGCCTCAGCCAAAAAGGCCCAATTATGCCAGAGGCGGGTTACATACCTGGGTTACCAAATCAGAGATGGACAAAGATGGTTGACAGGGGCGCGAAAACAGACAATCCTAAAAATTCCGGTGCCCAAAAGCCCGAAACAACTAAGAGAGTTCCTGGGTACGGCGGGGTTCTGTCGCCTCTGAATTCCAGGGTTCGCAGAAATGGCTGCGCCACTTTACCCACTCACCAAGCAAGGGACTCTCTTTACGTGGGGAGATGAGCAGCAGAGAGCCTATGCAGCCATAAAAGAGGCCCTGCTAACCTCCCCCGCGTTGGGGCTTCCGGACTTAAACAAGCCCTTTGAGCTGTTTGTAGACGAAAAACAGGGATATGCTAAAGGAGTCCTGGCTCAAAAACTGGGACCATGGAGGCGTCCGATAGCCTACCTGTCCAAGAAACTTGACCCGGTAGCCTCGGGATGGCCACCCTGTCTGAGGATGGTGGCAGCAATTGCCCTCTTAATTAAAGACTCTGGCAAGCTGACTATGGGACAGCCAATAACAATTTTGGCTCCTCATGCAGTGGAAGCCCTGGTCAAACAACCTCCGGGCCGATGGCTTTCCAATGCCCGCATGACCCACTACCAGGCCCTACTACTGGACACTGATCGAGTATACTTTGGCCCTATAGTAGCTCTCAATCCGGCATCACTGCTTCCCCTACTGGAGGGTCCAGAAACTCATGACTGCCTCCAGATACTTGCAGAGGTACATGGCACCCGACCCGACCTGACCGACCAGCCCCTCCCCGACGCCGACTTCACCTGGTACACCGACGGGAGCAGCTTTCTGGACAACGGAGAGCGGAAAGCGGGGGCCGCGGTCACCACCGAGACTGAGGTAATTTGGGCTAAGGCCCTACCACCTGGCACTTCGGCACAGCGGGCTGAGCTCGTCGCCCTAACTCAGGCCCTCTGGATGGCAGAAGGTAAGAAGCTCAATGTTTATACCGATAGCCACTATGCCTTTGCCACTGCTCACATCCATGGGGAAATATATCGGAGAAGAGGGTTGCTTACCTCGGAAGGAAAACAGATCAAAAATAAAGCTGAAATATTGGCCCTGCTTAAAGCTTTGTTTTTACCCTCAAAACTGAGTATCATCCATTGCCCCGGCCACCAAAAGGGAGACAGCCGAGAAGCCAGGGACAACTGCTTGGCGGACGCAACTGCCCGAGAAGCGGCGAGACAAGAAAGCTCAGATACCTCCCAGCTCCTGGCTATAGAACCGGCCGAGGCAGAGGTCCCCTCCATTCAGGAACCCCCCTTCCACTATAGTGAGGAAGATCGGGACCTCCTAAAAGAAATGGGGGCCACTTACAATCCCACGCTAAGACTCTGGACTTTCAAAGAAAAACCTGTGTGGCCCCTGCAACAGACTCGTAACCTGATTAAATACCTCCACAGACTGACTCACCTTAGCTCCAGAAAAATGAAAACCCTCCTAGAAAGGGAGGAAAGCTCCCACTATTTGCTGGGGAGGGATAAAATTCTACAGCAAGTGGCTAAAGAGTGCACAGCATGCGCCCAAGTAAATGCAGGACGCCATAGGGTAGGCCCAGGGACCAGGATCCGGGGACATCGCCCCGGCACCCACTGGGAGATTGACTTCACAGAGGTAAAACCTGGACTCTATGGATATCGGTTCTTGCTGGTATTTGTGGACACCTTCTCGGGATGGGTAGAAGCCTACCCCACCAAACATGAAACTGCCAAAGTAGTCGCCAAAAAGCTTCTGGAAGAAATCTTCCCCAGGTATGGCATGCCCCAGGCGTTGGGCTCTGACAATGGCCCTGCCTTCGTCTCCCAGGTAAGTCAGTTAGTGGCCAAACTATTGGGGATCAATTGGAAATTACCTTGTGCATACCGTCCCCAGAGCTCAGGGCAGGTAGAACGAATGAATAGAACTATCAAGGAGACCTTATCTAAATTAACGCTGGCAACTGGCTCTAGAGACTGGGTGGTCCTCCTCCCACTGGCCCTATATCGGGCCCGGAACACCCCGGGCCCCCATGGACTCACTCCTTTCGAGATCCTGTATGGAGCCCCACCACCGATCGTTAACTTCTTTGATCCCTGTATAGCTTCATTTGCTGATAGCCCCTCTCTAAAAGCCCATTTGCAGGCACTGCAGATTGTCCAGAAAGAAGTCTGGGAACCCATCGCCGCTGCATACCAGGAACAACTGAACCGACCGGTGGTGCCACATCCGTTCCAGATTGGAGACACAGTTTGGGTCCGTCAACATCAAACCAAAAACTTGGAACCCCGCTGGAAAGGACCCTATACTGTGTTGCTAACAACCCCGACGGCGCGCAAGGTCGACGGTATCACAGCGTGGGTGCACTCCTCCCATGTCAAGGCGGCCCATCACGACGCAGAACAAGATCAGACTCCAGCCTCCTCATGGAAACTCCGTCGCACCCAAAATCCACTAAAGATAAGACTCACCCGGGTTTGATATTCTTTCTCTTCCTGTTCACTCTGTCACACTCCAGTCCCCACATCCCTGTAAATTCGACTTGGGTCCTGCTAGATGGATTTGGTGTCCTTCTTAACAAAACTTCCAAAATAGCTCCCCCGTACACTTGGTTCCCTGAACTAAGTTTTGATCTAGCTCAGGCCATGCCACCCGGGTCCTACGCCAGGCGCATCGTAGACGACCAAAAAACACATTTCTACATGTGCCCTTCCCCGGGGAGTAGCCCCTGGCGACTGCAGAATTGTGGAACTAGGGACGACTTATATTGCGCCGCGTGGGGATGTGAGGATTTCGCCACCAGCTGGCTACCAACCTCAATCGGACTCCTTCAGCTCACCAGGGACCCCAAGTATAATAGATGTGGGTATGCACTCAATGTTGATGACCCCCGTCCTGTACCCAAACCCTGTAATCAGCTCATCCTTACCGTTACCGATAAGGGCAAAAAGTATAAAGAGGGATGGTTGCGTGGAAAAGAATTCGGGTTGCGCCTCTGGAAAACAGGCCGCGTAGGAGGAATAATGCGCCTCCAGCTGACTCTTGATAAACCCAAGGTGCCTGTCGGGCCTAACTCGGTGTTACCAAACCTGAGAGTCTCCTCCTCCCAACCTAAAAAATTACCCATTCCGCCTACAACCATGCCCCCTAACAAAACTCCGGGCCCAGCCAGTCTAGGCATTCCCACACCACAATTTCTCCGATCAAGTACAGGTGATAGACTGTTTGGTCTAATACAGGGAGCCTTCCAGACGCTTAATTATACTGATCCTAACAAAACCCAAGAATGCTGGCTATGCCTGGTCCCAACTCCCCCTTACTACGAAGGGGTTGCAATAACGGGGAACTTTGTAAACTACACCACACCCCCAACATATTGTACTTCGACCTCCCAACATAGGCTAACTCTATCTGAAGTGTCTGGCCGGGGAACCTGTATCGGGTCAGTCCCCAAAACCCACCAAAAAATTTGCAACTCAACCTCCAGGATCCACCCGGGCTCCTATTACCTAACGGGCCCCAATGGGACCTATTGGGCTTGCAGCTCCGGCTTAGCGCCCTGCGTATTTGCATTAATTCTCAACCAGAACTCTGACTTTTGTGTCCTCATTGAACTCTGGCCTAAAGTTGTCTACCATGAACCTAAATACATCCACAAACATTTTGAGGGGATCACCCGGTACTCTAGGGAGCCTGTATCTCTAACTTTGGCCTTAATACTAGGGGGACTCACAGTCGGGGGTATCGCAGCAGGAATAGGGACTGGTTCTGCTGCCCTGGTAGAAACTTACTCAGTTCCAACAACTACAACAGGCCATGCATACCGACTTGCAAGCGTTAGAAGAATCAGTCAGTGCTCTGGAAAAATCCTTGACCTCCCTTTCAGAAGTAGTCTTGCAGAATAGAAGGGGGCTAGATATCCTCTTCTTACAAGAAGGAGGACTATGTGCAGCTTTAAAGGAAGAATGTTGCTTTTATGCTGACCATACTAGATTGGTAAGGGATAACATGGCTAAACTCAGAGAAAGACTCAGACAGAGACAGCAATTCTTTGAGTCAGGACAGAACTGGTACGAGAGATGATTTAGTCGGTCCCCTTGGATTACCACCCTGATCTCCTCCATTATGGGTCCCCTAATCATAATTCTCCTGATTCTACTAGTTGGGCCTTGTATCCTAAATCGGCTAGTTCAGTTTATAAAGGACCGGCTCTCTGTCATACAGACGTTAGTGCTAACCCAACAGTACCATCAACTCAAACAGCTAGAGATGGAGATTTACTCTCACTAGACCCATAGAATGAAGGATTCCATTCTAGGCTAGAAGAGAAATGGGGGAATGAAAAAATAAAAAGCCCTAGCATAATGCTGGCAACACTATTTTACAAGCAGTGCAGGGTCAGAGGCAGGGCAGGACAGGTGTCCAACAACAGGGTATCTGCGGTTGGGCGCCTGAAACAATTGGGACACCCAAGATAAGAACCGGCAGTCTTTCCCGCCTTCTCTGAACCGGCTACGTGACTTAGCTCACATCTGCTTTCCCGCCTTCCCTGCTTCAAATACGTAACCTAACTATGGCTTTGTTCAAATTCCCCAATCAGATCCCCGTAACTATGCTTCTCGCTTCTGTAACCGTGCTTCTTGCTCCCGAGCCCTATAAAAACCCGTTACCCCAACCGAGAGGCGCGCAGGTCTTCCGAAAGGCTTTGTCGCCCCGGGTACCCGTGTATCGAAATAAACCTCTTGTGGCTTGCATCCGAAGGCTGGTCTCGCTGATTCCTGGGAAGCGGGGTCTCTCCGTCTAAAGAGGCTCTACCCAGAGTCTTTCAAGGAGGACCACATGGCAGAGAGCAACAATTAGAAAGCCTCTTAGACCTAATGAACTCTGTTTATTATTTTATCTCCTTTCATACTATGAAAGCAACAAATCGCATTTTAAATTGGCATGTATTTTTACAGAAATTCAAAGTTTTATTTTTGCAGCATATTGTATATGTGATTCAACCCTGGTCCAAATGTTCTTTATATAATGGTGAACTTTATAAAGGTTTATTTATATTAACAAGCTAATTTAAAATGTATGTCTAACTACTTATGTCTTTGCTAGTTCTTGGTTGCATAAATGAATGCTGTTTCTCCTGTCAGCTACCTGTGCTCAGGGTTTACCCCTAGGCTTTCTGGCCAACAGATTTGGTATAATAAAATCTCAAATGTAATTTTAAAATTGCCTTATAATGTTCCACTATATTGCTAACTCTGAAAACAGATTATTGTTTACCCTTTCTTAGACCCTGGCATGTTTTAAGGTCCAGGGTCAAAAACAGGATATGGTTAAGATGCATAACTTGAGGTTAGTAGTTAAAAGCTTGTGCTTAGATAATCTTAAACTATGTGACATGAGTCCAAAGATAGGTTTAATTGGGGATATATTAATTCTAGAGACAGCCAATTGTTTAGAATGTTAGAACTTGGTTATTATGCTCTACCTTCACTCTCAAAAGGTTAAAAATGACTACCTTAAACATATGTTTATCCTTGATTTTTACTAATGTTACTAATCTATAATATGACTTAAGATTTTTATAAGCTATAGACTTTTTATAAACTAAATCATATAGGAAACTATTTTGCTCTATAATAATATACTATAAAAAGATCAAAAAAGTTCCAGGCCTCTTTATGGACTATGTTTATGATTTTTAAGGCTCCAATTTAACAGGGATAAAAACCCAAAGTCCTAGTCTTTAATGATTAAGAAATGCAAGTTAGCTGGGCATGGCGGTGCATGACTGTAATCCCAGCACTTGGGGCGGTAGAGGCAGGGTGGATCTCTGTGAGTTCAAGGCTAGCCTGGTCTACAAAGTGAGTCCAGGACATCTAAGGATACACAGAGAAACCTTCTCCAAACAAACAAACAAGCAAACAAACAATAAAATGCAAGTTAACAGTCATTAAAAATGATCAATTCCCTTAACGTGTCCAGAAATATGCTTAAAGTCACACTAAGAACCAATGTGATTAATTACAAAATTAAACTTTATTTAGCCTCATGTATATGTTTTCAAAGTTAAACAGAAAGAAACGAGAAACAAGCAAAGCTTGTCTATTTAGATTTACTTGAGACAGACATGGACCTCAAACACTTATGTGGAGAATGTGGCATAGTCATAGATCATAACATTCCATTTTATGTTTGCAAGGTGTAGTTTAGAACAAATAACGACAAAGATGCCTTAACTCAAATATGCTAGCCTTCAAACCTGTCAGAGACCTACTGAATATGGCATTTCATATGTTTTAGCTTATTATTACCGAGACTCCCAAATCCTAACAGTAACACTGTCTTCAGTAAATTTTAATCTGGGTTAAATAGTAACAGGGCCTCCATTCTCCCCCTTGTTCAGCTTCCAGGCTTGTTTCAAGAGTCTTTACTTGTACTTAAATTTTGTACTTAAATTTAAGTTAAGTACTTTATTTGTACTTAAATTTCTTTGGTAAAATGAGATTTATGTTCCTATTGTCCAGACTGTTTTTCAAACCAACAGACCAAAAAGACCTTCTGAGAACCAGGTCAACTTGACTTGAAAAAAAAACGAAGTTTTCCAAAACTAGCTGACCACAATGATATTAAAAACTTGTAACAATGTGTTTATGCCAACCGCCAATTACAAAAGTTCTGCTTTTGTTAAGCTTTGCTTGATTGCAAAAGTCAGAAAGGATCTATGTGAGAATTCCTCTGCTGCAGCTTAGACCCCACCTCATCCTCCCACTAAGGGGGGCTGTAAGCCTGGCCCGGCCATAAAAACAAAACTTTTGCTTTTCAATATCTCGATGTGACTTCATCCTTAGTCTCAAGATTCTTATCACTGTTCCACAGCCATCAGAGGAAGTATTAGTCTCTTCTCTATAGAGATATGTGGGGCACACTGAGAGTTGACAGAGGCTTGGCCCACGAGTGGATCACCAGCATTCTAAAATCTTCAGACTCGCAGAGTAGCACCATTCAGAAAAATTATCTTAAACCTTTCATTGATTCAACAGGAAGATTTTCCCCTCTCTCTCCGTTTTCTTCTTTATTTCTTATTGATGGGACTTTTTTGGGGGGGGAGGGGAGAGCGGAGGTTAGAGACAGGTTTTCTCTGTGTAGCCTTGGGTATCCTGGGCTCGCTTTGTAGTCCAGGCTGGCTTCGAACTCACAGAGATCCGCCTACTTCTGCCTCTCTGGGCGCTGGGATTGAAATGGGTAACTTTTAAATTACTGGAGCGAAGGAAAAGGAACTTCAGGGGAGAGTTGGCACTAAGGCAACACTCACCCTAAGATTCTAGCAGGGAACTTTGAGCGAGGCTGGGAACGTCGGCGGAGCGTGCAGCGCGCTGTTCCGGGTTTTGGCTCCGCCTCCCAGAGGCCCCGCCTTCTGGGCGCGCTCTCAACTTCCGCCGCCGCCGCCGCCGCAGAGGCAGCCAATCGGCTCACAGCATGCCTGAGCAGCGGAGCCCCAGGGCCTTGTGGGATTGCGGCGGAGTCCGTGCGCTCGGGCGGCCGGTACGGAAGCCGACACAGACATGGCGGCGCACCTTAAAAAGCGGGTGTACGAGGAGTTCACTAAAGTGGTGCAGGTAAGCTCTGGTGGGAAAGGCTTGGAGCGGCCGGCGCGGCACCCACGCTGCCCTCCAGTTCTCCAGATGCGCGCCTAAGCTTGCGTGCAGGCGGCTCAGGTCTAGGGTCCCAGGCTGCACATCAGGGGGCGTGTTCGGTCGAGGCCGCTGCCCTGTGTACTCCTGACTTTTTGTCTGTCTGTCTGCTTTACTTCTGAGGATAGGCTTCACGGTCTTAAGCACGCTAAGCAAGCGCCCTACCTCTGAGTCGCTCTCAGCCCACGCGAGACAAAACAAACCAGCTCGGGGAAACAAAGTGTTGCATAATTTTAAACACTGTCAGTTATCTTGTTTGGATGCCTCACAGCTCGGCTGTGCCGGGTCGGGTCAGGTTTGCAGTCCTCCGTACTCAGCTGGTGGCAGAACCCCTCCTGACTCGTGTTCTCCTGACTTTCCAGAGACAAGCTGGCCTGTGTGCAGAGCCGCAAGGGGCTGGTAAAGGGGTCCGTAGAGCTCGAAGCCCAGACAAAGCAGGCGAGAGTCACAGCGCCTCAATACCGTCATCCCCCCGGAGTATTTTAAACATAGGTGGGCTGAGCCCCTGCCAGAACTGACGGTGGGCAGGCTGGAGAGATGGATGGCTCAGCGGTTAAGAGCACTGGCTGCTCTTCCCGAGATCCTGAGTTCAACTCCCAACAACCCTGTGGTGGCTCATAACCCATTTGTTATGGAATCTTGATTCCCTCTTCTGGTGTGCATGAAAACAGAGCACTCATATACATAATAAACGACCAAAAAAGAACTGTCAATGTGCTCCATTGTATCTCTGTAGAAGAGGTGGGTCTTCCTTCTGCTTCTCAAACTTTCGTATGTACAGGTACATACAAAATATGTATCTTGAGGAATACTTAATTTATTTATTTTTTTGTGAATAGTGGGGATTGAACCTAGGGCCTCATGCATGCTGAGGCATGTGCTCTACCACCAAGCTGTTACAGACCCAGCTCACTTAGGGATTTTATTAACATGCAGATTCTGTTCAATAGGTGGTGCCATTTAAGAAAATGAGTCTTATTTATTTATTTTTGAGATAGGGTCTGACTGTGTAGACCAGGCTGATCTTGAACATGCAGGAATCAGCCTCCTTCTGCCTCACAAGTGTGGGGATTAAAGGCGTGCATCAACATGCCTGATGGAAAAGGATTAAGCTTCTCATTCATTCATTCAACAGGGGGATTTAAAGTGTGTGTATATATATACATATATATATTCTATATATTTAATACTTGGGTGATACCTGTGTACCATGTATGGTGGGAAGTCTTTGGTTACAAAGTCCTATATATATATCAGAGCCCGTGCCTCTTGGGGGAACATAGTCTGACTGGAGAGCCAGAACAGTGTATCTGTGATCATCACACAGAGAACTACACTGGCAAATCAGTATCCTTTCATTCTCTTTAGCATTTTCTCCGTTTCCTGAAACCAAGCTTTAAGCTTGCAGTTACCTAGTGTCTTTCCCAGTCTGGCCTCTCTTTTGTTGGCATGTTTGTTCATAGGTAAATTAGCTTTCTATCTATGCCAGCTTTTTCTTACAAAAGTGCAGTTTCTTTGTTCTTTATGTTATGTGTACGGGCGTTCTGTCTGCATGTGTCAGTGTACCACATGTGCAGTGCACACAGGGGCCAGAAGAGGGCATCAGATCCTCTAGAACTGGAATTACAACTCATTGTGAGCCACCTTGTGGGTGCTGGGAATTGAATCTGGGTTCTCTGCAAGAGCAAGATGTGTCCTTAACAGGTCCAGCTTTTTATTTTATTTTATTTTTTTTAAGACAACCACTTTGGAAATCAATCTGGTGCTTTCTCAGACAATTAAGAATAGTGCTTCCTCAAGATCCAGCTATACCACTCCCAGGCATATATCCAAAAGATGCTCAAGTCTACAACAAGGACATTTGCTCAACCACATTTATAGCAGTTTTATTTGTAATAGCCAGAATCTGGAAACAACCCAGATGTCCCTCAACTGAGGAATGGATACAGAAATTGTGGTACATTTACACAATGGAATACTACTCAGCAATTAAAAACAAGGAAATCATGAAATTTGCAGGCAGATGGTGGGATCTAGAAAAGATCATCCTGAGTGAGGTATCAGAGGCAGAAAGACACACATGGTATATACTCACTTATAAGTGGATATTAGACATATAATGTAGGATAATTATACTAAAATCTGTACACCTAAAGAAGCTAAGCAAGAAGGAGGACCCTGGGTAAGATGACCAATCCTCATTCAGAAAGGCAAACAGGATGGACATCAGAAGAAGGAGAAAACAGGGAGTAGGACAGGAGCCTACCAAGAGGTAGTTGAAAGACTACCCAACAAGATATCAAAGCAGATGCCGAGACTCATAGCTGTCTTTGACATGAACTCAGTGGCAGGCTCTTTGATCACCTTCCCCTGAGGAGGGAGCAGCCTTACCAGGCCACAGAGGAAGACAATGCAGCCAGTCCTGATGAGACCTGATAAACTAGGGTCAGAGGACTTCCCCTACCAGTAGACTAGGGGAGGGGCATGGAAAGAGATGAGGGAGGGAAAGTGGGATTGGGAGAGGACGAGGGAAGGAGCTACAGCTAGGATACAAAGTAAATAAAGTGTAATTTATTAAAATAAATAAATAAGTAAAAAAGACAAGGTCTCAGCCAGGGTGATTGGGGATGGGCATGGCATATGCCTTTAATCTCAATACTCAGGAGGCAGAGGCAGACTGATCTCTGAGGCTAGCCTGGTCTACCCAAAAAGTTCCAGGACAGCCAGAGCTACACAGAGAAACTCTTGTCTTGGTGTGTGTGTTGGGGGGAGAGTGGGAAGCTGGGAGGGGGAGTGGAGGTTGGGGAGTAGGATGTGGAGAGTTGGAAGGAATAGGGCTTCAGGGACCAGACACAGGCAGGACAGGGACACAAGAACAGCACCACAACCAGAAACAATGGCACAACGAATGAAAACAAATAAACAAGACAAGTGTTTCTAAACAAAATCCCAAATGTTCAATTTTACCAATAAAGACTCAGGAGCCAGATGCTAAGGTGAAAGCCTGCCAGCTCAGAGAGGCAAAGAAAGCACCCAGCTGACCTTCCTACTCAGCCAGTGTCCCAGAAGGAAAAATCCCCTTCTCCCGTGCTGTGGAAAACCGCCTCAAACTGGAGGTCCCTTCTTTCTACTTCCTGTGCATTTCTCTATCCATCCATCCACACTTCCTCCCACTATTGTTTTTTTCCAGGTTCACTTTCCTGTCAACTTGTTGCTTTCTCTGCCTCTTGACCTAGTGTTAATTTTAGTTCTGTGTAATTAACTAAGGTTATTAGATTAAAGGTGTGTGCTAGGGCTGAGCCACACCACCACAGCCACCTGTTTGCAATAAACAGTTCTTGGTTTAAAGCTGTGTGCTACGCCTGAGCCACACCACAAGTAGAAACAGGGTTTCCCAGTACACAATCTCAGGGTTCACAGTGTGATCAAATATCCTCCAACAGGCAAGGTCTCATATAGTCCAGGTGCCCTAGGTAGCTGAAGTTGACTTTTAGCTTCTAAACCTGCCTCCACTTCCTGGTTTATGCAGGGCTGGGGTTTGAACCTAGGGACTTGAGCATGCTAGGCAAGGAGTGTATAAGCTGAGCTACATTCCCAGCAGCTCCTGTGTAACAACTTGGACTGAGAATTGGCTTTGATACTTTATTCTTCCTTTTTGTATGTAATTGGTTCTGAACTTTTTGGATGAGCTAAGAGTCAGAAAGCTTTGCTAGCTTTTCAGAGCTCCTGCATCTGTGGCTTATTCTGGGACTTTCTGGCTCTGTATTCTTTCCTTTCCTCCCTCCTCCCTCCCTTCCCTCACCTTCTTTCTTCATTAAAGATGTATTTTTATTTGTGTGTTTGTCTGTGTATGTATTCCATGTGTTTGTATGCCTGTGAAGGCCAGAAAAAGACGTCAGATCACTGGAGCCAGAGTTAAACATGTTTGTGAGCCATGTGACCTGGGTGCTAGGGACTGAATGTGGGTCCTCTGAATGAGTAGCAAGGGCTTTAACTACTAACCATCTCTATAGCCATTTCCATTCTTTTTCTTTGG